TAAACTGTTAAGAAAAAAAAAAAAAAAAAACCTTGAACCCATTGGTATTCCTATAGGCAAATTTATCTTCTGCTTTTCCATCCTCTCCTCCCAAGTCAAAGAAGTTGTTAGAGGTTAAGTACGATTTCCCAAAAAAATAAAAATTTCTTTCGAGCACTACTCCTGCACTCCTTATCATTTCTTTATTACCAAAATCTCCGCGATTATAACTTCTACGCTAAAGTCTGTGATTGGGGCATTTTCCACAACATCAGACTTATAATCTATTAAAATTTGCAAATAACATAAGGCTGAAGAAATTGCAAGTGAAATAGAAACCACCGGAAGGGGCACCGTTCATCTTTTCTGTGGAAGGAGGAGGAAGCGAGACCATTCTTACCGCCCCCTATCCGTTGAGAAAGTTGAGGTGTAATTGGTTCTGTTTACAAAGAAAGAAATAGTGATATCGAAGTTCCGACAATCTTCAGCATTGACGACGAGAATGAAAATACCATCAACAGGAGAAAATCAGGAGCTTAAAAACTGAAATTTTGTTCCATTTTGGCCATAAAATCCCTTAAAGCCAGTGAGATCTGCTACGGGATTTGAAGAAAAGGGTTGGTGATTAAAATGGGGATGGGTTTTCAATGAATGTTGGAGGATCCAGCCATACAAAAAAATAATACGTAGCCGGCTTCGTTGAACTATACAATATAAGTTACTGAGTAAAAAAAATACTAACCCTTATTCTCCTAATAAAATTTTATTTTACAATTCAAAATTCAAATACAACAATAGTAACAAAACTACAGACTCCTAAGCTATGAAGCTATATAAGCGATCCATATTTTAATATTGAGGATCAGGCCCACATTCTATTCATCAGGCCTTTCTCATTTCTCAGTTATACTTTGAATTATGAGCTGGCCCAGATCCAATCGTTATGGGCTTTAAAATGTTCTTCCCTTTGTAGTGTGGCCGAACTCCTGTGCTAATAATTTAGGCTTACCCAATGAGTAGGGCTGACCATCGCGTATATGTATATTTGATATTTATGGGCATTGATCTATTTGAATAAGTGTTATATTTATATTCGAAAGTAGATGATTAAATATTAAATATAAAAATGCATCCCTGTCAAGTGCCAAGTATTGAATCAAATATTGAGTATGAAGGTATATACTTACATACTTAACCTATATATACTTGAGTCATACTTATGGATACTTAACCTATATATTTGAGTCATACTTATATAGATATATATATGTGGAGAATAATGTATATTAGTCTTAATTTTTAAAAAAGTAAAATTTTTGTACTAACATATTGGTATTCAAAAGTTATATTAGATCTGATTAATTTAAAATCGAATCACATCAGAATTTTAATATTAATATTAAACAACATCATTTTATTTAATTAAAATTAAGTTCAAAATCCAAAAATCTATTTTATTAAATATTGATATTTGAATTTATAAACCAATTATATGAAAATATATAATTAGTTTCTAAATTTAAATATCAATATTTAATAACATGAATTTTTAAATTTTGAATTAACTTTTAATTAAATGAAATGATTGTTTAAAGTTAGAATTTTAATTTTTTTTACGGTTAGTATTGATATGCATTTTCTATTTAGAGTTTATTTATTTAAAATAATCACTCATTAAATGTCTTATTTGCCCCCCTTATCATTCATTACCCCTTTTATTGTATTACAGTCTCCAGCGGTAAGAAAAAATAAAATTTTTTTGTCGCATAAAAAATGGTAATTGTTAATATAATCAAAGATTAAGAAAAAAAAAATCAATGCTAAATTTTTAATAGAAATGGATATTGAACCACAACTGTATGTTTGAGTTACAAGAAATATAAATAAGAGAAAATTTTTTAATCAATCAGATTATAATATTTTAAAATATTATAATTTAATTGATTAAAAAATTTAGAACCCAAACATACTATAAATGTCACTAAAAAGATACTCTCCCGTCCCAGAATTATAGAGATTACTTTTATTTAGAATTTGTTTTAAAAGAATTATCATTTTTTTAATATTTTGAGATAAATAAATATGTTTTTCAATTAAACCTTATAATTATTTCTTAATTTTAATTATTCATTTTATCATAACAAAAGTCTCTTTATTTTTTCTTTTTTTTAAAGATAAAATACATAAAGATAGAAATTATCTTTAAAATTTTAATTCCGAGATAAAAATAAAAATTAACTATTATTTTAAGATGAAATGAGTACAAAAGAAATTGATGCGTAAATATTATCAATTCATAATTGTCTTTTTCTGTGAAATGGAATGATAATTGTCTTTTTGTGTCAAATGGAATGATAACTACTCTTTACATTGTAAAATAACTATTATCTTTTAATTTTTTTAAAATAAAAATTTAAAGATAATATTTGTGTACATTTATAATACTTTAAAGAATTAAAGATAAAGAAAAAAAATTTATGATTAGAAGATTAATTAAAGTGAATAGATAATAATAAAGTTAAAGCGAAATAAAAATATTTATTTATTTTAAAAAATAAAAAATAATAATTACTTTAAAATAGAAAATAAAAAATATTTTAACAAAGAGAAAAGAGTAAATTTTAAAACATGAAAAACAAAATTCCCATAGCATTAACCAATAGCATGCGACTCAAACCACTCGGTGAAGACATGAGAACAGTAACACCTTAAAAAGCCAAGTGATCCAACGAGACCAAATACTCTACTGCTGCGTTTCCCTCTCAGAGGGTATGGCCAAATTCATAGGGCAAAAACAGACTGATAAAATATCTTTTTATAAAAAGTATTTCTATTTAAATCCTTTTCCTCAATGGAAAAAATATAGCCAAAATAATTTAAATTTTCTAATTTATTTAGATTTGCATGTAGTTTTAAAATATAGTTTCTTCGTATTTTAATTAACTCATAATTTAGGTATGAAAAGTGTATTGTAGACTTTTTCAAAATACTTTAATACACTTATAATAAATTTAATTTGTATTTTTTTACTCGTGTAAGACATAAAGATAGCATCTAATCTCCAGTGAAACTCTAACAATATCACAAGACACTTAAGAATAATTCTTCCTTGTTAATTTCACTTGTTAATTTCACCCGTTGGACAAAAGTCTGCACCGTCCTTGCATTCATTTGTGAGGCCCACGACGAATGAATTATTTTTCATGTGACGTTGATTGGATTGATTGCTTCCAAAAGGGCACTTTGTGTGTGATTGCCATCGATCTCAGCAATCCCATAAGGTTCCCCTATTCCTCTTTATTTTTCGAAGTTCCATGCTCTCAGCGATCCCACAAAGTTCTCCTGTTTTTCTACTTTGCGGAATAGGGGAACTTTGTGGGATTGCTGTGAGCTAAAAAGTTTTTTATTTTTTAATGGAGTGGGTTAATTGTTAAAAATATAAAATTTTAAACGAAAAATTTTAAATTTAAATCTGATTTTAAATTTAAATCTGATGCGAGAGATCTGAGAACAGGAAAGATTATCCTTGTACATAGCACGTCACAGAAAAAGAGAATTTTGTGGGATTGCTGAAAGCGAAAAAGTTCCAATATTCCGCTTGGTAGAAAAATAGGAGAACTCTGTGGGATCGCTGAGAGCGATGGTTACAACTTTGAAGAATTCTTAAATAGGAGAACTCTGTCGGATCGCTGAGAGCCGTGGTTACAACTCTGAAGAATAAAGAAGAGGAAAAATAGGAGAACTTTGTCGGATCGCTGAGAGCGATGGTTACAACTTTGAAGAATTCTTAAATAGGAGAACTTTGTCGGATCGCTGAGAGCGATGGTTACAACTTTTGAAGAATTCTTAAATAGGAGAACTTCGTCGGATCGCTGAGAGCGATGGTTACAACTTTTGAAGAATTCTTAAATAGGAGAGCTTTGTCGGATCGCTGAGAGTGATGGTTACAACTTTGAAGAATAAAGAAGAAGAAAAATAGGAGAACTTCATCGGATCGCTGAGGGCAATGGTTACAGGATAACTTTGTGGGATCGCTGAGAGCGATGGTTACAACTTTGAAGAATTCTTAAATAGGAGAACTTCATCGGATCGCTGAGAGCAATGGTTACAGGAGAACTTTGTGGGATCGTTGAGAGCGATGGTTACGACTTTGAAGAATAAAGAAGAATAGGGGAACTTTATGCTCTCAGCAATCCCACAAAGCTCCCCTTTGGGAGCAATCCACAAAATTTTCCAAAGGGGCAATTAGGGCCCTCGCCTCGTCTCAGACTTATATATACCCACTGATTTCTCCTTGAATATATGAGATATCACAGAGACACAAGGAGAAGTTGTAATGGAGGGAACAAGGGGGACCCGTAATGGAAGATTAAGGCGCAGCAGCAAGCTTAAGGTAACTGCCTCTATTTTCTCAACAAATCCTACCTATTTCATTCTTTAGCACACGTCTCCATGAATTTACTTATATATTGATATATGGTTAATTTCATCAATTTTGTTCAAAAGAGGACTCTGAGGAGGATGAAAGCCAAAGCTGCTGCTGCCAAGGTGGAGATAACCCGCGTAAGAGAGGAAACGGCGGGTATGGTTGCTGCAATGGGGGACCTCAAACTTGAGATCGACCTGTTGAAGCCAGCGCTCCGCCAGCATTCTGAAGACATGATTCTTATCTCAGAAGCAGTGGACAGTATCGCCCAGACTATACTTCAGCCTTAATTAGCTAAGGATTCAAAAAGACCAGCTATTTTGCTTTCATGTTCTGTTGTGTCAGGGATCTAATCCTCCATGATTAAGCCCTGGGTTTGGTGTGATTTTATTAATAAACAACTTGGTTGTGTCCCTTTACTTATGCACTTTCTATTATGTTTGGCTTTAGGTGTTGTTGTACTTCAGCTTCTTACTAGACTGGAGAAGAGGCCAGGGCCCCCTGTCTAGGAGAGTTATGCTTTCTCCGATCCACTGGTCTTTTTGGTTAGACTGCAGATTTGGGGTTGTTTTCTCAGTTTATTATTGTAAAATCTGCATTTCTTAATAAGATTCGACACCATGGTTGAATCCTTAAAGTTACGAATTTTTATTTTTAGCTAACAAATCTCTCACACACAATTAATCACCTAAAAGAGAAGGATTTAAAAACTAACAAAAAAAAATAGAAATCTCCTAATTTTATTCAGATAAAAATAAAAACTCAAAGGTAAAAAGCAAGTAATGGTTTTAATTAAGGTGTATATTCATTGTTGAATACTAATAAAATAAAAATTAGGAAAGGGAAAATTTTGGTAAAAAAATGCTAAAGATGAGTTTCTCACCAGGATGAGATAGCACTCAAACGGCTGTTCAATGGGTGAAGAAATGAACAATACAAATAAAATTTTGGAACCAATAAGGTACTACCAAGTTGAATTAAAAACAACATAAATATCTATAACAAGCCAAGTTCAAAATTATAACATTTTTGCCCAGAATTTCAAGGAAAGAGAAATGCACATCTTGATGAAGGCATTATGCAGGTCTAAGCTATGCCTTTTGAAAGTGATTCAATCAGAACTCACCGTCATCCTCCTCTGCATCTTCTTGTTGTCCCTCCTTCCTTTTCTCAGCACTTTCTTTGTCCTTTTGAGAGTTTGGAGGAAATCACAGTGCGCGTACTGCCTCATTATGCATTTCAGACAGAAAGCAATTCTTGTGTTGAATGCAATTTGAGGCTCATTTGTAAAGTAAATGTCACCCGTCTCCTTTGACAGCATCCATCCATTTGCATGATCCAATATTGCATCAATTGCTCCATCTCTGATTGCCTTGGCTATTATACCCTCCGCATCAGCAACAGGGTTAGCGGAGTACAACCTTGGCTTCTTGGCAACATCAGGAAGGGAGATACGAGAGTATGAGATACTTATGTTTCGCAGTCCATTCCTTATGACATTATGCCACAGCCTAACAATCAAGTTATGAGTCCGAACTGAACTGAATGCACTCGAGAATTTCTCAGCAACAGATCTAAAAAGCTCCAAATCTCCAATGTGAACAGCCTGCAACATGCACAACAGTTTCCACTTTCTCAAAAACCAGCATTAACACTTGGGTTGACTGGTCAAACGTAAGAATATCATAAACATATAAACAAAGCAATTATTGCACTTAACCAAGTTCACCACTTCTTAAGATGACCAACTTAAGAATAATTTTCTACATTATATATAAGATAAGAAAGAAGGGTGTGTCCTCATATAAGTAGTAGAGAAATTTTTGAGCTGCATATATATTTTGCTGTCCATTTATTCCCATAAGTGGGAAAGTTAAGACCTAGGTTCTCGAGGCACGAAACAACACAGAACTGAAGCTTCATAAACTTACATTTGTAAGCTCAAAGCATGGCCTCAAAGCCTTTTCCATTCCTTTCTGCGTAAAAATGGTCCTCTCTGGGATTTCACCTACAATAATCGAACAATGATAGTTCGCTTGTTGCATTGAAGTCGGAAACCCAGGGCTGCAACAGGGGCCTTTCGAGCAGCTTGAAGAACATCTGTGTACTCCAACTGAATGGTCCTAATCTTACCCAGGTAAAAGAGGTAGCGGCAAAACTGCATGATGAAGAATTGTTTTACAATATTTTAGCAATTAAGTATCACAAGTAAA